GAGGAAGATGCATTGGATCCAGAAGTTGGGGTGGTACGTGACTATTAAGGAGACTCGATCTTTATTGCTGCTGGGGGGAGGGGCTTTGAGGGCAGAAGTGCGGGAAATGGAGGAGATTCGGTTGAGGGCTGGTGGGGAGTGTGGAGCGGACAAGGGAGTCACGGAGAGAGTGGTCCCTCTGGAAGGCAGATAAGGGTGGGGAGGGAAAGATGTCCTTGTAGTGGGGTCAGATTGCAGGTGGCGGAAGTGGCGGAGGATGATGCGTTGGCTGCGGAGGTTGGTGGGATGGTACGTGAGGGCGAGGGGGATTCTGTTTTTGTTGTTATTGCAGGGAGTGGGTATGAGGGATGAGTTGCAGGAAATGCGAGAGATGGGGTCGAAGGTGTTTTCGACCACTGTGTGGGGGAGGTTACAATCCTTGAAAAGGGAGTGGAATGCCTTATCACGGGAGCAGATGCGGCGGAGGTGAAGGAATTGGGATCAGTGGAGGGGGGCTGATTGGGCCAACGGAAAAGGAAGAAGCTGAGGGCTTTTAAGGCCTCTGTGTGGGGGATACAGGTGTTCAGGGACTGCATGTCCGTGATGCAGATGAAGTGATGGGGGCCAAAGACTTAAAAGTTTTGGAAAAGGTGGAGGGTGTGAGTTGTATCATGAATGTAAGTGGGGAGTTCCTGGAACAAACGGGAAAGAATGGAGTCAAGGTAGGAGGAGGTGAGCTTGGTGAGGCAGGAGCAGGCAGAGACAACGGGTCGAATGGGGCAATTGGGTTTATGGATTTTGGATAGGAGTTAGAAACAGGCGGTGCGGGGTTGGGAAACTATCATGTTGGAAGCTGTGGATGGGAGATTTCCTGAAGTGATGGGGTTGTTGATGGTCTGGGAGATGATGGCTTGGTGATCAGAGGTGGGATCATGATCAAGGCGATGGTACAAGGAGATGTCAGAGAGTTGGCGTGTAGCTTCAGCAATGTAGAGGTCATTACACCATACTACCACTGTGCCCCCTTGTAGGCAGATTTAGTAGTGAGGTTGGGGTTGGAGCGAAGGGAGCGGATGGCTGTGCGATCTGATGGGCAGAGGTTGGAGTAAGTGAGAGGGGTGGCGAGATCCAAGTGGTTGATGCCGCGGCGGCAGTTTGAGATGAAGAGGTTGAGGGAGGGTAGGAGGCCCGGAGGGGGTTGTCCAGGAGCATGGAGTTTGCTACAGGTGGGAGAAGGGGTCGTTAGGGTTTGGGTTGGATTCCCATTCTCTCCAACCTCTCACTTATTGCAACCTCTCCCCATTGGAGCACACAGCCCATACGCTGTTCCGAGCCTCGCAGTCCACGCGCTGTACCAGGGTTCACTGCTCTGGGGATTTGTGCTGATCCCTACCGTTGCTCAAGTATTCGCCTCCGGTGCTAAGGGGAGAGAAGAAGAGAAAATGAGAAAAAAAAAGGAAAAAGAAAAAGAACAGGCAGAGCAGAGGAGCTCCAGCAGGAGTGTCCTGCCCTGCCGCCATCTTGGTTTTCCGCCATCTTGGTTTAAAGAACAGTAATGGAAAGGGATCTGAGGTGTAGCAGTATCGTGAAGGTGCATGGTAGAAGTATTCTGAGGTGTGATGAGATTTAAGTATCTCAGCTTTTGTAAGAGATCTGTGAAACTTGAGGGAAGTGTGCGAAAAGAGAGAAAGTTAGAAGTTTCTGGAAATAGAGTATCAAGGATAAATAGAAGAAATGAAAGTGAATCATATTTGAGGGGGGAATGGATATTAAGAAGTCGTAAGAAGTTGAGAATAAGCAAGTAGTATGGAGGGTGGTTAATAAACATGCGGTCGTGAAGAGTGAACGAGTAGGCAGTAATTAATTGTAGGCAGTGTATCAGGGAATGACTATGAGCTGCTGTGTGAGAGAATGTAGGAAAGAAGAGGGAATCAGACAAAGCCTGGCAGTCAGCCAGGCAGTGGGACTTTGTATAAAAAGTCTCTAATGGTGATTTGGAGTTATAGAGTCATCGCATCATACAGCACAGAAACAGACTTTTGGTCTAATCTGTCCATGTCAACCATAATCCCAAACTAAACTAGCCCCACCTGCCTGCATTTGGCTCACATCCCTCCAAACATTTCATGAACTTATCTAAATGTCTTCTAAACATTGTAACTGGGCGTGCATCCACCACATTCTCTGGAAGTTCATTCCCCACACACAAACCAATCTCTGTGTAAAAAGAAATTGCCCCCCATGTCTTTTTTAAATCCTTCTCCTCTCACCTTAAAAATATGCTTCTCTAGTCATGAAATCCCCCATCCGAGGGAAAAGACACCTAGTATTCATCTTACCTATACCCTCTATGATGTTATAAACCACCATAAGGTCATATCTCAACCTTCTACACTCCAGTGAAAAAAGTCCCAGCCAATCCAGCCTCTCCTTATAACTCAATCCCTCCATTCCTGGCAACATCCTGGTAAATCTCTTCTGAACCCTCTCCAACTTAATAATATCCTTCCTATCAGGGTGACAAATACTGAACATAGTACTTGAGAAGAGGCCTCACCAATGTCCTGTGCAACCTCAATACAATGTTCCAACTCCTATTCTCAAATGTCTGAACAATGAAAGCAAGCATGTTAACACACCTTATTAACCAGCCCATCTATATGTGGTGCAAACTTCAAAGAATTATATACTTAAGCTTTTAGGTTTCTCTGTTCTACAACACTATCCAAGGACCAATTTTTAATTGTATAAGTTAAATCATTTATCTCTATTTTTGCTACTAGTTTATCTTGCTTATTGCAAATGTTTTAACATGATTTTGCATTGTTTATTTAATGGACTCTGCCGATGCACTGTTACTGTTTAAAAATTCTGCCCTTTCCCAAACACGTGGATGAAGGTAGAGCTGTGGATGTGGTATACATGGATTTAAGTAAGGCGTTTGATAAGATTCCCCATGGTAGGCTCATGCAGAAAGTAAGGAGGCATGGGATAGGGGGAAATGTGGCAGATTGGATTCAGAATTGGCTGACCCTCAGAAGACAAAGGGCGATAGTGGACGGAAAATATTCAACATGGTTTCAACATGGTGCTCAGTCATGAGTGGTGTACCACAAGGATCTGTTCTGGGTCCTCTTCTATTTGTGATTTTTGTAAATGATTTGGATGTAGGAGTGGAAGGGTGGATTAGTAAGTTCGCGGACGATACGAAGGTGGGTCGAGTTGTGGATAGTGCTGTTCTAGGTTACAAAGGGACATTGATAGGATGCAGAGCTGGGCTGAGAAGTGGCAGATGGAGTTTAACCCTGAAAAGTGTGAGGTGATTCATTTTGGAAGGACAAACTTGAAAGCAGAATACAGGGTTAACGGAAAGATTCTTGGCAGTGTGGAGGAGCAGAGGGATCTTGAAAGCTGCCACCCAGGTGGATAGAGTTGTTAAGAAGGCATATGGTATGGCATTAATAGAGGGATTGAGTTCAAGAGCCGTGAAGTTATGCTCCAGCTATACAAAAGTCTGGTTCAGCCACATCTGGACTATTGCGTTGGAAAAGGTGCAGAGGGGATTTACCAGGATGTTGCCTGGAATGGAGGGAAGGTCTTACGAGGAAAGGTTGAGAGAGCTAGGCTTTTCTCTTTAGAATGGCGAAGGATGAGAGGTGACTTGATAGAGGTGTACAAAATGACCAGAGGTATAGATAGAGTGGACAGCCAGAGAGTTTTTCCTAGGGTGGAGGTAGCTATTATGAGGGGGCATAGTTTTAAAGTGAGTGGAGGTATTTATAGGGGATACGTCAGAGGTAGGTTCTTTACTCAGAGAATGGTAGGGACGTGGAATGCATTGCTGGAGAGGGTAGTGGAGTCAGCCTCATTAGGGGCATTTAAGCAGCTATTAGATAGGCATATGGATGATAGTATAAGGTAACGGTGGAGGTTAGATAGACCTTAGGTTTAGACTAAAAGTCAGCACAACATCGTGGGCCGAAGGGCCTGTACTGTGCTGTACTGTCCTATGTTCTATATTCCCGTCTTGCTATGCTTGGCTTTACCTAAGGAACCACGTTTTGTATGGCCTTAAATCCTTGGATTTCTAAAATTCCCTCCATCTGAAACTGTTGCCCCCGTTCTTTACTTTTACTTTCTAAACTGACTATAGTCTTGGTTATAATGTTGCCAAGACACTGCTCCCAACGTAGTTAAAATAGAGCCCACTCTTCAGGTAACAGCTTCCTGAGTACTCAGAGATAGTAAGAACTGCCGATGCTGGAGTCTGATACAACACAGTGTGGAGCTGGAGGAAAACAGCAGGCCGGGCAGCATCAGAGGAGCTTCCTGAGTACTGGTGTCAGTGACACGTGAACCAAAACCCACAACATTCTTTGAGCCACAAGTTTAGTTTGTCACTCTGCTTCCTTCATTGCCATTCAGGACATCACTCAGGTAACAGTCACGAGATGATTACCTTTAAGTTCCTGCATTTTATTTTGGACTTGAAGGTGTTTGAAGAGCTGGCTGACATTTAGGTATCAGAATTTGCTCATGGGCAGAGAGGAAAATGTAATCTTCTGAATGTACACAAATGATACAGACTACATCAGGAATTAAAGCTGACATAACCTCCCATCCCATCATTTATGATTTTAATACATGTCCTTGATTTCAGTACGCAAATTAAATTGAGTACATTGTAGATAATGGCAATAGGCATGAGCTCTGATCACTGAGTCACACCTTGTCGGGTTTTGTGGCTAATTGGCATTGCCAGAAAACTCAATTCGGAAACTTTGATTTCTCAACTTTGAAATAAATCAGTGTACCTCACAGGGGAAATCAGATATTGGTCAAGAAATTCAGCAGAGATGGGAAGTCGTCAGCTGGTGCTAGTTTAATATTTGGTTAGATTACTATTTAGCGTTTACTTGTTTATTTTGAACAGTTTAAGATGCTTAAATTGCTTCTTGCAGATTATTTTGATTCTGTTGTGTATGTATTATATGTTTGGTGACTTGTCTGTTTCATTTCAGTATTGGCAGTCAAATATTTGAAAAAAATGGTCCCCATCAATATACTGTTTTGTGGAATGCAATGATATACCCTCTACGTAAAATGGCAATCACAGGAACCATCTGGTATCAAGGTGAGACATCTTTTACACCAGAACCAGTCATAGTTGGATACTGCACTTCATCTGCTGGCCTCTGTCAATGGCAAGGAGCATTTCTGAATCTCTAGCTAGACTTATCTTCCCGTTTAATAAATAACTCCACATAAGTAGGGGAATTGTTGACCTTGTGTCACTAATGGAAACCTGTATTTGGGCTTCACTTTAGTGCTGTAATGATCTAGGATAATAGTAATATAGGACAGGATGGAGAACTAAATATTTAAATTGGAATTTGAGAGCCCATAGAAGTGGGAAAGTAGTGTGCGTAGTAACTTAACTAGATGGGATATTAAAATTTGATTTCCAGATGGTGGGTTGCGATGCAGATATGAAAATAGTGGCATGCTGAAAGTTACGCTTGGTTGTAGTAGGTTTGGACTTCTAATCTATTTGCGTATCATGAATACTCAACTTGGAACAGTTTTTGATAGAGTCAATGCCACTTGCTTCACAATTGTTTAAAGGTGGCATGCACTAGGTGGCTCTATACAGTTGTGATTATGATAAGCAGGTCTCCATATTGAACTGTTGCACAAGGTAGTGAGTGGGGAAAGGTTGGTGTTCAGTTGCAGGGATCTATGGTAGAGGGAAGGACTGAGAGTACTGGGTATGGTGGTCCTGTAAGGGGATGGGTAGATCAAGCAGAGATTGGAAGACTGATGAAGGGTTTAAAGGGTGAGTCCATGCAATCGGGGTTGAATTGAAGTACTGTATGATAAGAGGATTTAATGAAAATGGGAAGCTCTCCTGAGTATGGGTTCAGGTGTAGAGTCAGGATTGGGTAGTGGAAGGTCTCTTGACATGGTTCACATGACCAAACAAAAGCTTGAAGCTGGATAATGGGCTGGATAATTAGAGTAGTAATTTTGATGGTCAAAGATGTATGCACCTGTGGGGAAGACAACATGTGTGGGGAATTGGTAATGTGGTCTGGTGTAGGTTCAAGCATAACAAAGGTGATGGGAAAGGTTGTTTTGGGTAATTATGGGTGATGGGGGCAATGTGAGGGTGATGGAGAGTGTAGAAGGCATATGATCAGGTTTCAAATGGAACACACACCATTGTTTGTGGCTCCCTGAAAACATGCAGAATTGCTTCTGCTAGTTTCCCCAACACTGAGGTTAGACTGACTGGCCTATACTTTCCTGATTTTTCCCTTGCTTCCTTCTTGAATAATGGTAGCATGTTAGTTGTTCTCCAGCACCTCCCCTGTGGCCAGAGAGGAAATGAAAATTTTTGCAAACGATGCTATGTTAGTATTTATATTTTTTAAAATGTACTTTTTCCAGGAGCACAGCTAGATGAAACCCTGACATCAGTTGAAGTACAGGTAGCCTGCTTAGTATCATGCCTGTTGCCTTGGATGATTTTGTAGGTGCCCTATGGACGCATGGGACATTGACCGCTCCAACCTTCGGGGGTCTTCTGTTTGGGGGTGTTTCCCTTTGCCTCTATAGCTGGAGTGGTGGGCAAGAATGGAAGATACCACTAACCCTGGGAGGAAGGTCCTGGGGTAGATGGTATGTGCTTCTTCACTATCAGTGTGCAAAATGACATCTCTGTGTCTTCCTGAGAGGGATAGATTTCCTGAAGCGGCCTTGGTCCCTTCTTTAGTCCAGCCACTGCCACACTGAGGATGTAGCTAGATCAATAGAATGAAGGTCTGAGTGCAGATAATTGAAATGGCTCTGTAGGGCAGTCACCATCCTAACCATGGGTGAAACAATGCTGCCAAATGTGGCTGGACCCATGGTCTGATTAGGCTGTTCCACACCACGTTTAAGGCTGTGCGTAACCCATAGCATCACTTCCTTATGTTCTCCTATCCTTTGCTGCATACCCGGCAAGCTTCAGAGGCTGTGACTACAGCAGTTAGAAAAAATATTACTGGAATGGTTAAAAGGATCAGGGAATAGAGGTGAGAGGAAGACCTTGGACAAAGTCACCAGAACCTAAAAAGCAAGAGAAAATAAAATCTGGAGATAGTCACCGAAACCTAAAGGAGCCGGAGAGGGGCAGCAGATAAAAGATTAACAGTGGGAGGAAAAGAGAAAAATATCTGACTGATATCACAGGGAAGTCGTGAGTTGATTAGTTGTTTAGCAACTGCTGGTAGGGACTGTATTTCAACTCCAGTAATTTTGAAATAGATGAATTTCTAAACTAGCATAGGGAATGTAAGAATTTATAAGCATAAGGAGAGAGCTGATTTGATAGTACAAAAGTAAGGTGAAAGTAACTATAGTTACAATAAGTAACTTAATTTAAGGTATGAAAACCGAAAGAACTGCGGATGTTGTAAATCACGAACAAAAACGGAAGTTGCTGGAAAAGCTCAGCAGATCTGGCAGCATCTGTGAAAGAAAGAATAGAGTTAACATTTCGGGTCCGGTGACCCTTCGTCAGAACTCAGACCCTTCTGAGGAAGTGCCACTGGACCCGAAACATTAACTCTGTTTTTTCTTTCACAGATGCTGCTAGACCTGCTGAGCTTTTCCAGCAACTTTGTTTTTGTTCTTAATTTATGGTATATCAGGGCAGCTCAGCCTAATGGAATGCCTGTCCTGAGGCATAAGAGTTGCTATCGGGTCTTCTTATATAACTAGATGAGCCCTTGTGCATGAAATCAGCTGTATAAGCTTGAGCTGCAAGTTTGAGCTCAAGCAGTGTCTAGAGTCTAAGGGTGTGAGGCAGAGAACTATGTGGATAGCATGTTCATAGAGGTGGCCGTACCACATGTTAGGCACATGTAGGCAGCTAGGGAATGGGTGGACACCAGGAGAAGTAGTGTAAAAGTCCCAAATTGTCCAGCTCAGTAGCCAATTTTCTGCACTGGATATTGTTGGGGTGTAATGGGTCCTTGGTGGAGTCCCACAACAGCCAAGCCAATGGCACCATGAGTAGCCCAGCTGACTGGAGGGGAGGAAACAGAATGAAAATGTTACACTGATGGGGAGTTGGTTAGGGAATAGTACAAGAGTTTATTAAGCCATGGGCATGACTCCAAGATGGTGTGTTGGCTCCCAGGTGCTGGTGTCAAGGATGCCACAGAATGGTTATCACTTTCATGGTGAGGGTGAACAGCCAAAGGTCCTGGTCCACATTGATGGAAGTACACGTATAAGAAGATGCGTGAGGTCCTGCAATTAGAACTTAGGGGGCCAGGTAGAAAATTAACAAGCAGACCTCTAAAGTCATAATCAGAATTTCTCCCAGTGTCACATGCAGGTACTATAGAAATAGGCAGATAAGATACTTGAACGTGTGGCTGGAACTATGGTGCAAGAGGGATAGCTTTAGATTCCTGGGACATTGGGACTGGTTTGGCCTCTGGGACTTTGACGACTTTATCTTTACCTGGGGAGGTAGCATAGATTCAAAGTGATGTGCAAAAGAAGCAAGGGTGTTGGGAAGTAAAACTTTTCAAAAGTGAGTAGTTAGGGTTTGTAATGCACAGCCTGGAAATGTGATGGAGACAGGTTGAGTTGAAGCATTCAAAAGGGCATTGGATGATTATTTGGATAGAAATTGTGTTCAAGGATATCGAGAAAAAGGCAGGTGATTGGCACTATGCCAGGTGATGCTTGTTTGCAATGTTGGTGCATGCGTGATGGGTGAAAACATACTGCATCGTAACAATTCTGTGAAATGTGATAGAGGGAGGTTCAATTGGGACATTCAAGAGGACATTGATGGTTTTTTAGATAGTAATAATGTGCATGGATATGGGGAAAAGGCAGGGAATTGGCATTAAACCAAAATGGCATAGAGCTGCTGAAAACACAAAAGGCTAAATAGCTTCCTTCTTCACCATAGCAGTTCTGTGATTTCTGCTGCACGGTTAGATTGGAGAAGCTGGGGCTGTTCTGCTTGGAAGAAAGTAGGTTAAAGGGAGGTTTGATAGAGGTGTACAAGATTATGATGGACTTGGATTAAGTCAACAAAAAAAAGACTGTTTCCATGAACTGATAGTTATGGTTTTGAGAATGAGGTCTAGGGAAATTTGGGAACAAATTTTTTATGCAGCAGATGATAATAACCTGGGACTCATGAGGATGGTGAAAGTGGAGACAATAAAAGATTTCAAAGGAAGTTAGATGGGCTCTTTAGGGAAAATAAACTTCCACCTCTACAGGATAGAGTAGGTGTCTAGTATTGACTGGAGTGCTGTTCAGAAATCCACTATGAACTCAATGGCCCCCTTCAGCTTTATGACTCTATAAGCTATACACCATCCTGATTTGTAACTAAATAATCGTTTCTGTCTTTCATTGAGTTAAAGACCTGGAACTCCCTTCCTAAGTGCACTGTGAATGTACTTACAGTAGTGGTTAAAGAAAGCAGCTGATCACCACCCTTCTCAATGTCAATTAATGATGGGCAATAAATGCTGATCTTGTCAGTGACGTTGACAGCCAGGAAGACATGAAAACTAGAAAATAACATTGAATGAGATTGCATATCGTTGAGAAGGATCAACTTAGGTGAAGGAAAAGAGGGAAGTGGCTTTTACATAAGGACAGCATGAAGGTACATATATGTTTTTAAGTAATTTGAACTTGTTACCAACCAGTACATTAAAGTGTTTATTGTCACATAGAAACTAATGCCTAGGCAGTAATTTACAGTTCTAAAATCATAGATCATCTGCAACATATCTTCAAAGAGTCATATGAATTGTTTATTTCCTCTTGTTCAGCTTCTTTAATTTATTGTCAGGCTCCACCAAGCATTAACTTCTGCTGTCACAAGATAAGGTGCCATCTTCTTGTCTTGTACTCTGCTTAATTGACCAAATCCTCCTTTAATCCCTCCAAGTATTGGCCATCTGACACAATAAGGCCAATGATTTCGATCCACACCAATCTAAGCGCTGCATTTCCTACTTACTTTGCAAATGTAAACACCTTGTGTTGAGCTTTCTACAGGTATTTCCTGTGAGGGCATTCTTCATTTTCTTAACTATCTCTGAA